GGTCTTGGCTTGCTGGCTGTTCGTGATGATCTTCTGGGGGAGGGGCCTGTTGCCGTAGTTCCCAAATGTCTTTGCTGGAGGCGGAATTGCCCCGCCCTTGTCAGTCCGGGCTAAGCAATCTGCTTGGGTTTGCCCTCAGGAGCTTTTGTTCCCTGAAAACTCTCGGTACAGCTTTGGAGGACCAGAGTGAAAATGGTGGCCTCCCAATCTCCACTCGGAGGAGCTGAGAACTCGGGGCCCCCCTCCCCAGTGCGCCCCCAGAGAAAAGCAGTCACTCCTGTCTCCCCGGTCTCCGGCCGCACTCCGTGCTCACCCGGCCTGTGACCGAGTGTTTCTATCTCTGGCATCTGACCCCGTGTGGAGTCTCCAAACCCAGCAGATCCCTGCGGTGCGCTCCCGCGCTGCTCCTCCCAGGGGAGGAAGGGGAGTCTCCCCAGCTCTGTCGCTTGTTGGGTCCCTGCTGGAGGAGCAGTGGCCCGACTGGGCCGCCGATCACAGTTTATAGCAACCCCGAGCTGAGAGCCCGTGCCTCGGCTCCGTCTCTGCAGCCGGCTTCCCCGCTCCGATACCTGGGAGCTCTGCCACACTCAGGCACCCTGGTCTTTCTGTGACCCCAAGGGTCCTGAGACCACACTGTCCCGCAAGGTTTCCACCTCCCGCTTAGCCACTGGAGTGATGTCCCTCAGCGGGGCCGACTTCTAAAAGTTCCGATTTTGTGCTCTGAGGCTCTATCACTTGCCAGAAGCGGCGGAGGCCCCCTCCCCCGCCGTCTATCCTCCCGAATATCGCCTTGGATTCACTTCGCACGTCCTACCTTCCAGTAAGTGGTCGCTTCTCTGTTCAGAGAGTTGTTGCTATTCTTTTCTTCGATCTCCTGTTGAGTTCATAGGTGTTCAGAATGGCCTGATCCCTATTCAGCTGAATTCCTGAGACCAGACGAAATCCAGGTCTCCTCCTCCTCCGCCATCTTGCTCCGCCCCCTCCTCAATTGAGCTTTTTAAGAAAAATTGGAACTTGCCAAGACAGGAAAAATATCACCTACACAGGGTATGTTGTCAACAAAGACTTCTATGGAGGTGGCAGGTGTGTGATTTAACTTCCCTAAGACACAAAAGGAAGAGTGATCAGAGAGCAGATCAGAAAGACAGATTGAAATCACATTGTGGAAGGCCTTGAATGTCAGTCGAAGACCCCTGGCCCTTATTCTCTAGGCAACAACGAAGAATGAAGTGGTGCCAAGAGGACCGACCCTCTGTTCATGCACGACTCACTAGCTAGGCAGTGATAAAGCGTCAGGGCCTCTCTGGTGAGCATTTATGTAAGCTGGTCCCTGCAGAGTGTCCTGGCCCCCTTGGACTTCTCAGCAATTTTCTGCACCTCGCCTTTCAAAGAAAGATGTTACGATACCGCCTTTGTCTTGTAAGCATTAGAACATATTTTAAAGCATATGAGGATATATCAAAACATCTGAAGATGTATCCTGTATTTGCCCAACAGAAATCATTGATTCTGCAATGTGTGCCAAATTATATGAAACATTCGTTCAGCATCTAAAAATAACGTTTGGTGTTTCTTCAGATATATTTTCATTTCTGCTGATGTCTGCCTTGGGCCTCACAGTTTTCATTCTGTTTTCGGACTTTCAAGATATATACCATGGAATGGAGGTACGAGCTATTCATTTTCACATCTGCAGTGACTCATATGTACGATGGGACCATATCTGCACCATAATTTGCAAGTTAGTTATTACCATATTCTCTCTGATCATTTAATATTGTGGGGCTCTTCTGTTTACTAAAGCAGCAAATAACTTACCTGGCTCTCCCAAATGCAACCCTCTGATTGTTTTCAGATGATCTATATTATCAGTTGAGAACATTTATCCTATTCACACCTAAAATACTATGTGTGGATATTATATCCTTCCATATTATACTAATATAATAAATTAATGTATTAACAAAATAACTAATTCTTCAAGTTTAATTATTTTAACATATAGTAAAAATCCTTTATAATGTAGTTCTAAGGAGCAAGAAAAAGTAGACTTACAGGCCAATCATGTCCTGTCTGTCAGACATCGACTGCAGAGAGTTTTATTTCAGTGGACATCACTTAATCCAGGGTGCAGTGGATTAAAATAAAATTTATGAAGAGGTCATTGAACCCATTCTTGGAACCAGCATTGTGGGAGAAGTAAAAGAAAGGGAAGGATTGACTCTTGATTTGCAATCTATAGTTTTGTTGTGAAGATGAGCTCCACCCAAGAGAAATGATGACATGGCTATGTGAGACCACCCATGCTTGAAAAAAGTGTAACAGAGAGAGAAGTGGGAAGAACACAGGAAGGAGGAGCTCTCCCAGGGCCTGTGGTTGTCATGGGAGGCTTCATGGAGGAGGCACAACTTGATCTGTGTCCAGAGGATAGGCTAGATTTTGCTAGGTAGAAGGTAGGGATATTTCCAACCAGGAGAACAGCCTGAGCACAAGCAGAGGGCTGAAAGAATCTCTTTTGTCTTGGAAATGCAAAAGAATGTAGGGTGACAGAGATAAAAATCAAAAGCCACGCTTGTTTCACAGAATACCTGGAAGACTGGCAAAGGCAGAGGCAACATGCTGTGGAATGTGAGGAAGGCTTGGCTGGATGAAGAGGCCAGGGAAGTTTGAGCTCTCTTCTGAGAGCAACAGGGAGTCATTGAAGATATCCCAGCGGGTTTTTCAGCAGGGCTTTTAAGGACAGACTAATTAGAGTATGGCAGGAAGGCTATATGCTAGAGCAGAGAGGCTGTGGACAGAGACACAGTTAGGAAGTGAAAACCTAGACCATTTAGTCACTTATAAGACATTATGAAGCTTTAGCCCATGCTTGGCACTGGGACTCCAAAGATGAGTAAGATGTGGGCACAGATCTCATGTAGTTCAGGGGCTAGGAGGGAAGACCATCCCCCAAGCAGATGATTTCAAAGCAGTGTGGCAAGTGCCTTCCAGGCCAAGAGATGGAGAAGAGACCTCCCAGATGAGGGCAGGGACCACAGGGAAGGCAAGGGCCAGGTTCTCCGCTAGGATCTGACCCCGTACCACACCTTACAGCCTTCTCCAGACAGTCCTGCGCCAAGGCTGTGTCTCACAACCCTAAGAAAGGCTGTCTCTACTTGCGGCAAAAAATAACAAAGTGTTACTTTGAAATGCCCCATATCAGACTAGGGATGAGAATTGCAGGTGAGCATCTAGACACTGTGAAGGGTCTGTGGTTTTAGTCCTAAAAGCAGCTCAGTCCCCATCCTTTACTTTGGGTCAGATCGGCGGTTTGTGAATAGTCTCTTGCCATTGACGAAGCATGGGAAGTTCTAGTGTTTACACCTATTACTTAATTGTATTTGGTGGTCAGTATGTACCCTTCAATCCTTAAAAGGAGGTGGGTTGGGTGGGTTCAAGTTTCATCAAGCCATTAGATTTAGGGTTGAGGCCATTTGTTCAGAAAATTTTCACCTAGTTTCAAAAGTAATTTGAACCTCTGTCCCCTTTATGTTTTACTCATACATCAGTTTTACTGAAAGAATGAACTCCAAGTAGATTTTACTTTGGGAGGAGTAGAAGTAATAGTATTATTAGATGAATGACTTCATTTTGTGTCCTCTTCCCTATATTTGAAAAGATAAAAATGAAGAGAGATGCACTGTTGCCAAAGTGTTTTGTCTCATGTCTATGACCCAGAGCACATTTACCGAATGTCTCTTGTCAGCAGTGGAGGGAGCAAAGGCCCAGGGGCAGTTAATTCTCATTTGAATTCTGGCTCTGCCATTTATTGATTGGCTTTGAATCCTTGGACAAGGTACTGACCTCATCTGTGAAGTGGAGAAAGTAATGCCCACCCTCCAAGCTCAGAGAGTTGTTACAAATATATAAATTAAACAAGATGATTAATACTTTTCAAAATGGAAGACATGCAAAGCATAAAGGTGGTATTTCTTTTTTAACAGCTCATCCCAACCCTGACATCATGGAGGGTTTCAATTTTGGTGGTAGTCTTCACCCAATTCTGTGTGGCCTTCTTTGTAGAGGTAAAGTGATTTCTAAATGTCTCTTACTCTCTTTCTGGGGAAATAAATAAAGGGTCTCATTCTCAACACATGCCTGTTTTTTAGAGCAACATCTTTTGTCCCCAAAAGTGATAGTTATTAAGGCTTTGTAAAAACTGCACATGTTGTCTTTGGGGGAAATTACTTGGAGAGTGATTTAAAATTCTCTAAAGACTGCATAGAAGTGCTCTCTGGATCTGTAGCATAGAAAGCAAAACATCAAATTAACTCTAACTTTATCTCCCATGAAGGCATTGTATAGTACTTTTCTAGTATTCTCATAAGCTAGTAGAGACAAGACCAGGTGACCTACCAGCTCTAAAATTCAATGAGACCTTTTGAGTGAAGAACTATCTTCAGAAGGGTGTCCTTAATTAAGAGAGAAAGGAAGCCATTGCTCATTCTAGTCAATTCTTCTCCTTGAAAGTCTTCCTCTATAGCATTTTTCTTCTACTCAGTGTCACTCAATGACTTCACTTACTCAATGAAAGGCTCAGACACTATTTTTTTTCAAAGGGACTGTTAAAAAAAAAAAGATTCATGTATTGTAAATCCCTTGGGAAAAGGGATCGACCAAATTTTAAAAAATACACACACACACACATATAAAATTGTATACAATGAGTGTAAAATTTCTCATACTCTTTAAAGAATTCCATTTTTGAGACTATATATATTTTTAAATAATCCAAAAGGAGAGATAAAACTTACATGTATGAAGGTATTCATTATAGTATTATCTCTGGTGGTAAAATTTTAAATTCAACTCATGAGTTCAAAAATAGAGATGCTATTTGCTTTAAATAGTTATACAGCAATTTGAAAAAAATGGTATTTGATCATTAAAGGTGATTATTAAGAAGACCGTAGCTACAAATTGTACATGACAGGAAGCCTAGCATAACCAAAAGTGGAATGCAAAATTTGACCATTTCTATTATAAAGAAAAAAAAGAACACCCCCCCCCAAATGGAAAGCAAAACCCATTTGGTTTCTGGAGTTCATCCATTCATTCAGCAAACCATTACGTGGCACCTCCTATGTGGCACGTGGCAGGTAGCAGTGATTTTTTTTTTCTTTCCTTGATTTTGAGTACATTATTTTGTTATCATTTCAGTCTGGCAGTAAAATAATTCTAAGTGAATCAGCAGCCAGGATTTAACTAGGAAATCTGTAGAAATGAAACGCTGTAAGCTTTGGGCAGATTTCTATAAACACAAGCACTCTTCCTCCTCAATGGAAAGAACGAGGGGAGCTGCTAGACATCGTGGGGACAGCAGGAAGGAGAAGCTGCCACAGAAGCAGCGGTACTAAGCACATCTCAGAGGAAGGCCTGGGGGAACAGAGAGCAGTGGTGAGCAACCTGGCTGCAGGGCAAAGTGGAATCATAGTTTGATTGTTTACTCCTCCTGATTTCTCAGGATGTCATCCTTCAAAACCGAAGGCTCTGGCTATGGATCAAAAAAGAATTTGGATTCTCTTCTAAAAGTCAATATAAGAACTGGCAAAAAAAGCTGGCAGAAGACTCCACCTGGCCTCCCACACACAGAACAGATTATTCAGGTAATAGCAAAAATGGATTCTATATCAATCTCGGCTTTGAGGACCCTGAACAGATTCCAAGAGCAAAAGTCGAATTGGGAGATCAAACCACAGAACAGCATTTCTGGACGAGGCTGTAATCAGAATCATTGTTGTACATGCTTCACACCATCTCCTTATTCCCTGAAACTAAACCCATTTGGAGAAGTGATGATAGTCTATCCTTAACCTTTCTCTCTCCATCAGAGGGTTCAAAGTGCATTATCAATGTATTGAACCTTGCAAAAGAGAACCTTAGGGGCGCCTGGGTGGCTCAGCTGGTTAAACCACTGCCTTCAGCTCAGGTCATGATCCCAGGGTCCTGGGATCGAGCCCCACATTGGGCTCCCTGCTTATGCAGGAAGCCTGCTTCTCCCTCTGCCTACTGCTCCCCCTGCTTGTGCTCTCTCCCTCTCTCTCTCTCGCTCTCTCTGTGTGTCAAATAAATAAATAAAATCTTTAAAAAAAGAGAGAGAACCTTAAATATGCCTATTTGGACTGTATCCTCTGCTATTGAGGGAAAAAAATGTATGTCCTGGATTACCTTTTTTTTTTTTTCTAATAAACTATTCACATTGCATAGCATTATCCTGGCTAAAATGCACAAGTTCTCATAGTAGTGAAATTAGGAGTATGAATATAGGTAGAACAAAGGAAAATTGAAGAAGAGTTTGATGTTTGAAAGTTTCACCAATATATTTTTATTTGCATCTCCAGAAATAAAAGAATTTGGAGGGAAAGCCTTTCTCTCAATAAATCATCACAAGTTTACTTAACCTTATATTCACTTGCAAAGATCATTTATGTGCATATCTTTTCCCAAGGTCACAAAATTCCTTTTTTTTGCTTCTTTTGTATGGCTTTAACAGAGAAACAAGAATTGACATTTACTTCAGAAAAGTCGACTCTAACTGTAGTAAGTGTGGGTGTGGGGAGTGATGGAGATGTCTGTTAATTGCATATAATCTTGGCTTGGGCACAGCTTATATCTAAGCAAACTCCACCAACGTTGGCATCTCCCAAAGTATATTGTTTTGGGGTCAGAGAACAAGAAAATCACAAAGATACTGGGATAACCTGTTAAAATGTACTTTTCACTTAAAGGAGCATGGCACTTCTATTTATTTTTCGCTACTGACAGATTAAACCTCAAGCTCTGGGTTGAAAAGTTGGTTCAATCTCAGCATTGCTCATCTTAAAAACAATCCTGGGGAAGGGACCCATAATGTTTGTATCTACAGCATGACAATCATCAAGCTGCTAAACAACCTTAAGTTCCATTTCATCTTTTCATTATCTAAATCAATTATTAATGGCCACATTAATGGCCACAAGAAAAGGTACGTCCTCGGCAGATATATTCTGCACACTATTACCTTTAATATATATCAACCTCACTGTGACCTGGAGAGGACATATATCCCTAGTGAACATTTTAAATTAGCTACTAGGCTTTCCTTATAACAATAAATCTGATTTTGCCAATTTAACAGATCTTTAATGGCTCATAGGCAATTAGTTAGCCAGTTCCATTCTGTGAGTGCCAATTATGTGCCTAATACTGTGATGTATGGATTCCATAATGCTTTTACAATTCTGGAATCTTTAGGATTGAAAAAAATGTTTTTAACATTTCAGCAATGCATTACCCTAAATATTATTATATACTATGTTATACAAGCCAGTAGCATAAATGCCAATTCCTACAAGAATAAACCCTTTATATTTACATTTTATTTGCTTTTTTAAAAAAATTTATTATGTTATGTTAATCACCATACATTACATCATTAGTTTTTGATGTAGTGTTCCATGATTCATTGTTTGCATATAACACCCAATGCTCCATTCAGTACATACCCTCTTTAATACTCATCACCAGGCTAACCCATCCCCCCACCCCCCCCAGAACCCTCAGTTTGTTTCTCAGAGTCCATAGTCTCTCACAGTTCGTCTCTCCCTCCGATTTCCCCCCCTTTTTCCCTTCCTGCTATCTTTTTTTTTAAACATATAATGTATTATTTGTCACAGAGGTACAGATCTGTGATTCAACAGTCTTACACAATTCACAGTGCTCACCATAGCACATACCCTCCCCAATGTCTATCACCCAGCCACCCCATCCCTCCCACCCCCCACCACTCCAGCAACCCTCAGTTTTTACCCTTTTTTTGGGTGCACAGCTTTGGAGAATGTTAATTTTTAAATGTGTTTAATTTAGTGACTACCAATGAAAGATCAAAAGATGAAAAAGATTTTTAGATTATAATTAAGGAATGTATGTCAACCTAAAATATATGACAGCTCGGGTTCCTTGAAATGGCATATCTGTATTTAGTAATTTGACCTTTAGAATCAGAGATTCAACTGATACAGCATGACATTTAGATAACATAACAAGATTTTTTAAAAAAATCTTTATTCAACAAATGTACAGCTTCTCCCACCTAGTTTTTCCAATAACCTATTTGTTATCTGATAGATGATGATATTTTTTTCACACACCTTTTTGTGTGTGGAGGGTTATATAATAAAGTTGAACTCTACATTTGACTTTGCTAAAAGTACTTAATAGTCTTGGAATAAATGTTTGATAAAAGCACAATGAGCATGACCACATATCAATGATTACCTATAGGAAACGTAAATAGTCTTAAGCTGCCCATCATCAAGACTGGCCATTTTTATGGGAAGACTGATGACTAACTTTGTGAGCTTTACTCTCAGGGTGAAAACCAATGGAGTCTGAACATTACCTATGTGAAAAAGGTATCCTCGAATTTAATTTAAAAGTGCATTTGTGACATAGCATAGCTAGGACTGTCTTCTGGAGTGGCTATGTCTAGAGTTCTCTAGAAAGGTTTGCCTTGAGGATCCTAGGAGGTCCTCTCTGCTCCAGTTCCACTCCCTCTCCTCCCCCATTGGCTGGCATGGTAATTCCACCACACTAGAGTCTCCTGCCTTGGGTAAGATTTGTCCTCTGCAGTCATCTTTTATTAAAAGGTAAGTACACCTTGGGAAAGGTAACACATTAAACTGCTACCGATCTCACCCTTATTTGACAATCTTAGAAAATCTTTTTTGATTTTTGGGGGTTTTGTTTGTTTACTATTACTTGAATGCAGAACATAAAAGGAACAGGAAACTTAATTTAGAATAAAAATGAAGGGGTCATTTTGGATCATGGTATCTGGTAGAAGACACTCACACCTCCCAGAGGACCAGTGGAGGAAGAGGGAATTTGGGGGTTATCTGGAGACAGAATTGGTATCATAAGAAAGAGAAGAGATTAGTCAGGGAACAAGGAAGAAAGATAGGGTCTCTACTGGCCCTGACTGTAGCACATTAGCCTTCTGTCATCATTACTCTTAATGATGCAATTAGACCATAGAATATTTCTGGCCCCTGGGTAAAATCTACATCAGCTTAATAGGTCCAAGACTTTCACTGAGTCTTCTGTTTATCTACCACGTTCCTAGTTCCCTGGTCATATCTTCCCACCCCCACTTACTTGGAATTTTTCCTTTATTTAATGCCATGCTTTTAATTATGGCACAAGAAGGATGTCATTGGCTAGTTGTGTGGTTTGTAGGGTAATGTTGTAATGTCTGATACAATCCTAGGGTATAGACACCTGCATTCACTTTTCTCCACCTGCTGCCAACAAGAATTCCACTGGGAACGTATTAAAAAGGAATTTGTTTCATTCAACATATAATCAATAAAATGCAAGAATAAAATCATGACACTCCTTAATTTACAGTAAAAGCCTTAAACAGTAACACAGGATATTGTTTTCTAAATATGGCACTTTAAACCTGTATTAAATGATCTCTTGCTAAGGTTAAAAGGGTCAAACCCTTGAAATACTTCAAAATCCAAAGGGAATAATGTAGCTCTGTAGAAGTAACAGCCCACTCTTGCTTGTCACATACTCCTGACAAATGAGTCACTCCCAGGGAAATCACTGGATCTAAAACAGGAGCAAAGAATGCTGTCTCCCATCGACTCCACCTGCATCTACACAGGAACTAGGACATTGGGAGTGTACTCTCAAATGGATTGTTAATCAGAGCTCCTCAAACTGCCTAACAAAATGCTCAATTTCCTAGTTTCTTTTCTGACCAGAAAAGGAATATGAAGTTAGATGTCAATCTCAACAATTTGGGGCTCTTAACATTTCTTTTAAAATCACATATAGACATTCTTCATTCCTCTGGCAAGTACAAAATAGCCACCCTCAGGAAAAAGGAAAACACTATTTATGGTAGAAGATAAAATATGATGTGATTTTGTTAAAATCCTCTGCTGGCTTGCTCAAAAGGCTACTGCTTCTTGTTTAAGCTGCCACAGCAAATCTTTGCTAGTAGGGAGAAAAATTTCCATGGCTCAATGATGAGATAATATCAGTAAACAATTTATTAAGGAGCCTGCCATCCATCACTGGAATTTGGAACAATAATGATGCATTGAAAAATAAGTATTCATCCCAGTTTTTTTCCCCTCCTCACAAATTCCTTCAGTTCCAATATCTCTTCAGTAAATGATTAATAGTGTTTTGCTCTTTGTCTTTTTGGAAACAAGCCCAGGAGTGAAAAGGCACCAGCAGCAGCTGCCACAAATCCAATGGTACTTATCGCTTGGTTGGCCTATAAAGAAATGAGAAACAAACAAAAAACACATCTTATTCTAAAGGCACCTCTGTCCTAAACCCAAGCTTTAGCTTGTTTCCTAAACTGAAGACCTTTCAATGTACAAAGGATAAATTTAAAGCTTTATGCAAAATTTAATTGTGTATGCATAAATAAATTTATAATTTTTATAATTATGACAAAGATATAGTTAAATACACAGAAGTATATATCCTCATATTTTTATGGCCCCCAACAATTTATAACTCATTATGGCATAATTCCTAATAATCATGGTAGTACATCTGGGAGGTAGTGTTATTCCTGTTTTGCAAAACTTGGTGAGTTAAGTGATTTGCCTGAAGTCATACCAGCAAGATGTTTAGATATAGGTTGAGTCGTGAACCATGTATTTCCCCTCTAAACAATCCTTACCTCCTAAACACACACTGGTTTGGTTGGGTCTATATCAGGGTGAAAAATTTGTGTGTGTGTGTGTTTCCTGACTTGAGAATGTCTACTAGCAAAATAATTCAGAGGTGTAATCTAAGCTAAATACCTAGAAGCTCTTATTTGGTAGATAAAATTTCTATTTTGATAAACAAACTTCAAAAGAAGTCAATAGTGATGTTAACTATTGTGTTAAAAATTAATTTCTCATGTAGACAAACTAAAATAAACCACTCTCAAGCTCAACTGTCCATAAAGGAGTTCAGACATTTATAGCTTTAAAGGTATTAATCATCCTCATGATGAGGGATCTAATGAATATTCATGATTTTCATGGCACTCAGCTAATATTGCCTTCCATCTGCATGAGTTTGAGTGCAATTTTATGACCCAAAGGTCATCACATTCAGATGCCTCAGAATCATCAGGTATTCTGAAAACAACAGTTGTTCTCCAGGATTTAAGAATGAGGCTTTCAAATAAAGCAAAACATTTCTCCCCAGTGACTCTAGGGACCCACCCAAACGCTGGAAATCCTGACCCAGCTCACGTTTGAGCATGCCTTCTGTCTAACCCACAGGCCTCCCCCACATAGCCTGCCACCCCCACAAGACTGCCACACAGTGCTACCTCCCTAACTGCAGCTTCCCTGTTGGAAACAGACCACAGAGGCCTGGGCAAAAAAGAAGCACAATGACAGGAGTATTCATTACATTACACCATCCCGTGGTCTGTAAGGACAAGGCCTGTCATTGTAGCTCCCTGCTCTGCCACCATTCCCAGGTGCCAGGGAGAATGGCTTTGGCAAACAACTGACAACTCCTATTTTAGTTTACAATTCTAACCCTGTTTGGTTATTTTATTCATACTTTTTAATGAGTCACCACCTAAGTTATTTCCCAGGGAAGAGTCAGAATTTGCCGCAGCATAGAGCTACCCGCTTAGCACATGGGGAGCCAAAGGGACAGGAAGATCTGAGATATAGGACAAAATTCCAAAGAGGGACAAAATCAGTAATCAGACAGGGATCAAGGATTATAAATCAAGCCTAACCCTCATATAATTTCAGGCAGATGCTGAGATCCCAAGAAGGTCTGATATGGGCAAATGCGGCAGGAAATGAACAGATAGGACGGTGCAATGGGTGTCTTCCGAAAGAGGAGTCAAAGGGTAGTCTGGGAAAGTGGCAGGATCCTGGGGGTAGGGTGGTCCCAGCTAAATGCAGACCTAACCCACTGGGTCTCCATCAGCAACTAGAAACACAAGAGGTGAGAGAAATCCCACAGATCTGAGAGGCCTGGGGAGAGAAATGTGATCCTAAACCAAAATCCCCTGAGAGCACATAGGCCAGATACGATGACAAGGAAGCTACTTCCTACAGTGTAGGCAGTTTCCCAAATCCCAAACACTTATGACAAGTTCTAGTCTAGATGGCAAAATTCTGAGCAATTCAGACATAACTCTTGGAGTTATGTGTAATGGGATTTGACCTGCAAGAATATAACATCCCAGAATGTTCTCAGTGAACTATTACGAACAAGAGCTTTTATTTCACAACTTACTTAGGATTATAAAGTCATCTAAGCTGACTCCTCACACTTTATTCTTTACAGGGTTTTCTGACTGTGGGACATAATAAAGGCCTCATTCTGAGGATCTATACCTGCCCAATGAAACATTAACTGAATCTGGAGTGCTGTGTCCTGACATAGTGTAGCTGGGTCACAGATGACTGCAGGGCTTATTAAAACTCTTCTTCCCCTTTGACTCCAAGGCCACAGTGCTATGCACTGAAGCACAGTCAGGGTGTATCGTAGGTCAGCTTGTCCAGGCCTATTCAAGGTCACTGCCATCTCCCACAAAGATAGGCACATTTTAATATCTCGTTAAGACTGTAACAGTGGAAAATGTCTATTTAATTTTTTCAAAAAAGACAAGCCAGACTAGAAAAAAACATTTCCAACAGATCTGATAAAGACCTGTTATGCAAAATATGCAAAAGCTCTTAAAACTCAACAAAAAGAAAATGAACAAGGGATCCAATTTAAAAATGGACAAAAGATCTCAAGAGACACATCATCAAATATGGTATGCAGATGACAAAGAAGCATATGAAAGGATGATTAACTTCATACATTTAGGGAATTGCAAACTAAGACAATGAGATACCACTATGTACCTAGTAGAATGGTTAAAACCCAAAATGATCACAACACCAAATGGTGAAGAAGATGTGGAAAAATAGGAACTCTCATTCACTGTTGGTGGGAATGCAAAAAGGTACAGCCACTTTGTAAGACACTTTGGTGGTTTCTTACAAAACTAAACATACCCTTACCATAACAATCCAGTAATCATGCTCCTTGGTATTTACCCATAGGAGCTGAAAATCCATATCCACACCAAAACCTTCACACAAATGTTTCTAGCAGTTTTATTCATAATTACCAAAACTTGAAATCAACCAAGATGTTTTTTAGTAAGTGAATGTACATCCAGACAATGGAATGTTATTGAGTGATAGAGAAAAATGAGCTACCAAACCATGAAAAGACAGGGAGGAATTTTACATGCATATTGCTTAGTATGCATACTGCTCAATGGTTGCCAGAGGTTTAGAGGGAAGGAAAGATGAATAGACAAGCAGAACACAGAGGAATTTTAGGGCAGGAAAATTATTCTGTATGAAACTGTAATGATGGATATATGTCACTATACATTTGTCAAAATTTATAGAATGTACAACACTAAGAGTGAACCCTAATGTAAACTATTTTAGGAGGGGCAAAATTTTTCCTGTGTCCACCTTAGTTTCTCAGCTGAGGCTTGCTAATAAAAGACAACTTTACAAAAGAAAACCAAGAAGTTTATTAACAGGTTCATCTCATATATATATACATGGGAGAAACTCAGGGAAGAGTAACTCAAAGAGGTGGATTAGAATTCAGGGTTATATAGCATCTTCAAAAAAGAACAATAGATTTGTAGAGTAATGACAGGACAAAAGAAAGCAGTTTTAGGCTTCCCGGGGCAGCAGACCATGGGAAGGTAAATATATGGGAAACTAATGACAAAGGCTAGTTAGTTAAAGTTGTCATTTAGATTCCTCTGGTGTCCTCTCCAGGCTAGGAAGAATCTTAATGGTAACCACTAGTTGTCCTGGATGATTTACGTTTGTCCTTCCTGTTAGAGAAGGGAAGAGGGACACCTTTGAAAATGTTTGTCCCATTTTAGGGTCTGCTTCTCAACTGCCTTCAGCTCAAAATAATCCTTATGCTACATATTTTGGGGTGACATATTCTGGCTTCCTTCACGATGGACTCTCGTGGGTAACGTGTCAGTGTTGGTTAATCTTCTGTAACAACTATACCGCGCTGATGTGGACTCTTGATGGTGGGGGAGGCTGTGTACATGGCTGATGGGGAAGCTACGAGGGAACTCTCTAAACTTCCAGTTCAATTTTGCTGTGAATTGTATACTTCTCTAAAATGTAAGGTCTATTATTGTTTTTTAAATACAGAAAAGCACAAAGAAGAAAAAGATGGGGCCTCAATCCTTCCACCTTTCTAATCTTTTTAAATGCATTTGCAGTTTTTTAAATTGGGAGAAATACATAGCCATTCCCCCCAAAAAAACAGTTCTGTGCTCAAGACCCCAAAGCCCTGAGGAGATCCAAAATGAATCCAATATTAGCTATTATTAGTAATATTACTATTAATTATTGATAGTAATGAAAATAATAATACAAGTGCTATAGTTTCTATCAGAACATCTTATTGAAGAGTACCAACAAAGATGTATAAAATTCTTAAAATATTGTAATTAAAAATAATATTCATCTAAGTCTTATTGGTTCGGGAATGGATAATATGTAATACAGTGTGCTAACAGACTTCAAACATCTCCTATAATCCTCCAAACCCCAGTTTATAGATTAGGAAACTGATAAACAATGTTCCCTAAACCACCCAGCTAACACCTGGGGAAGAGGAGGTTCTAGTTCCAGTCAGCAGAATTCCAAAGTTTAGATGGCTTCTAAAGCCTGTCACTGTCTTCAACAGAACCTGCTAGAGAACAGTTCTAGTTGTTGAGGAACGATTAATTTTTCATGGGTCTTGATACTGGGTATGAAAGGTGAAAAGATGAGGGATTGTAAATTAGAGTGAAAGCAAAAAGATGGTTCTAATCCTTTTTTTTAAGTCACATTAAAAAAAATTGCTTGTTGAACACAGTGGACAACTTTACCATTTACAAAGGAGAGGGATGGATTCCATTTCCTAGCTCTACCACTAGTTTTCAATGCGAAGGTGAGCAGGAATTTGTGTGGATATCCTCTGTTCTGGTTCAGAAGCAATTTATTGTTACATGTGAATAGAACATTCATGATGTTAATGTATTTCCTAGTAAAAATGAATTTCCAATTAAATTATTTCCTAATGAAAACAAATGTAACCTTTCATTATGGTCCCTTTCCTATCTTCCCAAGCTTCTGTGAGAACAATTGTAAACTCACTCCTTAGAATAGACGTTTATATAACGGATTCAACCATTTCAAGATACTGGGAACCTTTATTCATTCTTTTACATCACTGTAATAAATCTTTAGGTTAAAACACCAATGTTGGAATTGGATTTGTGGTATGATAGGTACAAAGAAGGCAAATGAATCAAGCATGCTTTTAGTTAGGAATCTGCCATGCTACAAAATAGTGTGAGAAATGACAACATTGCATGCTATTTTAAAAATAATCGATCCGTTTTTTTAAAAAAATCATCCAAAAGCTCAATGAATCAAAGGATCTGCTTAAAAGCACAAAATTCCTTTGAAACTAGCGTTGCAAGGAGACAGAAATCATTTTCAAACCCACCAAAATATGTCTGTCATTAGTTGGCCTCTCTCAGCTAATGGAAAAGAATCCCAGAGTTACCATCTATGTTTTTGGCAAATGAACTCCCACTTAAAAACGTCAACCTTCTTTTCAGAATGTTCCTTTCAGTGTGTGAAGTTACTGATTTGAGACTGCTGTACGGACGGCAGGGAAATGGGAAAACAAAACAAAACAAAACCCTGAAGGACAGAGGGCATTAAGACTGACAGAAAAGCTATGGTCTTGATTCTGCTCCAAGTCCCTTCCAGTCCCAAATTCATGATGTCCACGTTCTAGCTTTAATTTGGCCATTAACCTGCTACATGACCGTGGACAACTCAATTCCTTCCTTTATCCTTTGGAGTTCTCATATTTTCTTGTCCTTTTCATTTTGTTTGCAGCCTGGGAATCTTATAGTCAGTAGTTATTTTTCCAATGTAAGAAGCATATTTTATATATCTTCTAAAGAAAACTCACCTGCTCTGAAACTCCTTCTCCATAACGAAGCAAAGTCACAAAATGCTCACAGTTGTTGACAAGTATGTCATATTCCACCTCCTGTCCAATAACCGTCTCTGACCGTTGCATGACTTCTTCCACAGGGAGAGGGGAGTAGGTCCCATCATATTTATTGTTTATTCTGTATGTGTCATTTCCCACAACATCCCTCAGCAGCTGCATCTTCACCAGGGCCTTCCGGCTGAATACAGACTTGGCGCTTGTAAATGATGCAGAAATGCTATCCTCTAGAAGGAGAATTCTGGTTAGCAAGATCGAGTGACACAACCCAGTGAACCCCAATGCCATGAAATTGCAATGCCTCACCCTTGGAAGTGATGGAGTCACTGAAGCCACTGAAGGAAGCTCTGTTCCTAACTTATCACCAAACCAGAGGCCACTTAATCTTGCCAGACTGAACAACTCATTCTGTAGTTTATCAATAACACTTAATACAATATGACTGAGAATATAAGGAAACCCTTTGAAAATTTGTATCTGTCCATAGAGCCGACTGGGTAAGAAAACTAACCACCCTTGAGGAATAAGATCTCTATCAGTTGGCATTATTGTTAGTGATCTTGGTGTATATTCCTAGCATAGTACACTTAAGATCACTGTCCACCTTTTTCTATAAAACATGCGCTTTTTCAGCATCTGAACCCTTCCAAACTAATATCTCTGGACCTCGACAGTTGTGCATTATGATTAGTAAGCTCATCCCAGTGTCAAATCTGTGCTCCTTACCCCTTCCTCTGCTTTTTACACCTGTCCTTTCAACTCGGCTTCAACTTGGCTCCAAATTTACATGGTACCTCAGTCCTCTAAAGGGTCAGCTAGGGTCAACTGGGGCCCTGCTTTTGTCTTGACAGTTCCTTTTGGCCAAGAAAGTAAGTCCTGAAACTGAACCTAAGCTAGTAGCTGCTGTCCACTAGATGTGGCCCCAGGCTATGTCCTACCCACCCACCTGTTATACGCCCCGCCTCCTGCCACTCCGTTTTAGCTACCTTAATTGCCAAGCATTTGCCTAGACTGCCAGGGACCATTGTCTTCTGGCTGCCACTGTCAGTATCTGAGCCTGGACAGATGATTGTTCAGTGTTCAGCTCTAACATCAGGCCCTGGTCCCTCTCCATCTGCTCGAGACCGCTATGCTTGGCTATTTGTTCAAGTAAATCATGAGAGGGGGAGTCTCCATATAACTGGTGTTTAGACACTCTTCCTTTTTCTACTCATTCTTTCCTACCTTCCAAGCTCCTTTTCATTCAAGCAGCATTTCCAGTTAATATCTTACACATTGAAAGTTCTCAAAGCATGTATCTCCTAGTTAGAATTACTAAAATTTTAAAAAACTAGTCTGATGCAATCAATTTACAGATGAGGATGTTGAAGCTTGGAGAGGTAAACTGGGTTGCAAAGTATGATGTGAGTAGTTAACAACAGAACCAGGAATTGGATTTCAGTCTACAGGATCAAAGCTCCATGCTAGAACCACATTAATATGGAGCTTAATGCATGAAAATAAGAACGGAAGAGTCTCTTTATTATTTTTTAGATGTTAAAACTGCAGAAAGAATGTAGCATTGCTTGATGTTAATCACTAGACTCTGCAGAAACTAATGGCTCTTTATCATAAATGTCACTTTATTGCCATTTCTATTTCCATTACTCTAGAACACGAGGCAAATATCTCAAAATGTTGCAAAAACCACTTCATTAAAAATTCTCAGATGTTTCCAAAATAGTAAGACTAGGATTATTAACACTTCTTTTTAAAGGTATCTTGAAGAAAAAAATGTTCCAGTCTATTTAATTGCATACATTTTTTCTTAAAAAATATTAATTTGTGCTTATTTCTAAACATTTAGGAAGTACAGAAAAAACTACATAAATATGTAGATATAAATCACCCATTATCTACCCACCCAGAATTAACTGTTATTATTTTGATGTACTTCTATTATGTCTGTTATTAACACATGTATACAGATGCGTGTGTATGTGTGCATTCACGTGTATATATTATTTCTTTGCAAACTAGGTATCATATTATATACTGCACTTTTAATCTGGAATTTTCAAATAAATATCATGCAAGATTATCTCTCATGCAATTAAATGTGGCCAGAAATAAGGTTTTTTAATGGCCATTATAGTAGCTGTTGGCCTATCCAGCAGCCCATCCCACAACTGTCTGTTTCTTTCTGGAAAAGATTTTGTGTGGGTCAGTTATAGTATCTCATTCTCCTGGGCACAGGGATGATCCAGTGATGGGCATGGGATCCACACTAGACCAATTAGGATTGTTCTCCATGCTATTTCCTACTGGAACAGGCAGGGATTAGCTCTCTCCTATTGTGTCACAGGAGTGTAAGAATGAGAGCCGGAGGATATTCATGGTTATTGGTTCAGCTTCCTAGAGAGACATTGTCTGAGAGAATTAAGACAACATAGAGAAAGAAAAGGCAGATGTGAGGCTTGATAATCATGGTCAAACACCCACATCCAGGCATCCCTGAGGCCAGTACCATCTTTATCCTTTTTTGTAGTTTCCCTCAGTGAAGCAATGAATTTGCCTGTTTGCTTAAACTAATTTGTGTTTGTTTTCTGTTACTTGCAACTAAAGAATTCTGTCAAACACAGAATATTCTAACCTGTGGCAAAGTCATAATTTGCTTAACTAGGCCCCTATTGAACATTAATCCACTGTTGATTTCTTTTTTGTACCTATTAATCCCCCTCACATATTGCACCCATCCCCCTATCCCTCCCCTCTGGCAACTACTCATTCGCTCTCTGTATTTATGAGTCTGTTTCTGGCTTGTTGGTTTGCTTATTTTTGTGAGTTGCTTTTTTTTTTTGTAGATTCCACAGGTAATAAGTGAAATCACCTGGTATTTGTCTCTCTCTGACTTATTTCACTTAGCACAATACCCTCTAGGTCCATCCATGTTGTTGCAAAAGGCAAGAACTCATTCTTTTTTATGGCTGAGTAATATTCCAGTGTGTGTGTGTGTGTGTGTGTGTGTGTGTGTGTGTGTGTGTACCACATCCTCTTTATCCATTCCTCTGTCGATGGACACCTAGGTTGCTTCCATGTGTTGGCCATTGTAAATAATGCTGCAATAAACAGAGGGGTACATATAGCCTTTCAAATTAGTGTTTTCGTTTTCTTTAGGTAAATATCTAGTAGTAGAATTACTGGATCATAGGAATTTCTATTTTTAATTTTTTGAGGAACCTCCACATTATTTTCCAAATGGCTGCACCAGTTTGCATTCCCACCAACAGTGCAGGAGGGTTCCCTTTTTCTCCGCATCCTCACCAAATTTGTCATTTTGTTATTGTCTATTTTTTAAACTGTTATAAATGAGATAGAAGTAAACACTCCTATAAAGAATGTTATTCTACATCTCTATAAATATTTCTGAAGAATAAACTCATAGAAGTACAATTACAGGGTCAGAGCACATGAACTCTTTTAAGACTTTTAATACATATTGTTAAACTGTTTTCAGGAATGATGTTAGTGAATTTCATTTCTTTCAACAGTATCCTTGTTTTGATTTCATTATAGCCTTATCCACACTGACTGCTATCATTCTTAAATATTTCCTAATGTGATAGTCATAAAATCTGTTATTTTATTATACAATTCCCAGATTACTACCTTTACAGATAGGTATTGGTTTCTGCTTTTCTTCTCCTACAAACTGTTCATAGTTCTTTACCCATTTGTTTGTTGGGATTTTGGTGTTTATGTATCCCCAGCATCTAGAATAGCATTTGGCATATACTGGGTAATCTGTAAGTAAATGTTGAACAAATTGAAATAATTTGTGTGATATATAAACACAATGACTTATTATGTTTGTGACAAATATTTTCCCCAGTGGATTATTTATGTCTTAATTGTGTTTTTATTTTCCAATCCAGAGGTTTTAAATCTTAATGTTAATTGGTCTTTGTGATTTATCCGATGCCACTTTGGTCTTAGTATGTCCTTCCCTAAATCTTTTTCAGATAGATTTATCTACTTTCTATATTTTGTTTCTATTTTGTCTTATTGCATGATTTCATTCATGATTCCTTCTTTTTTTTAAGATACACCAATCAAATTTTTTTAATTAACATGTTATGTATTATTTGTTTCAGGGGTACAGGTGTGCGATTCATCAGTCCTACACAATTCACATCGCTCACTATAGCACATACCCTCCCCAATGTCCATCACCCAGCCACCCCATCACTCCCACCCACCCTCCACTCCAGCAACCCTGTTTGTTTCCTGAGATTAAGAGTTTCTTATGGTTTGTCTCCCTCTCTGGTTTCATCCTGTTTCATTTCAAGAAAACTCAAAAGCTCTCAGGAGTTACTGGAAACAAACCTTACCTAGAGGTGCTATGTTGATAACATAACCATCACCCAAGTACAGTGCCCAGTGCTGGTAGCCCGAACGAAATACCTCAATCAAGTCCCCTGGCTGGGGGTTACCAGGATAGCTCAAACTAAAGCAATCATTAAACGCCATCTGCAATGACAGACACAAAGAATATCTAGCTGACATGACTTGCCAAAAGAAAATCCATTTAAGACTACAATAGAAGTATAAGAATACAGAATTTATTGGGATTGCATTCCTTATTAAAGACTTTAAACTTACACCACTGTCCTTTGAATGATTCCAACACTGAATTATGTGCGCACAAGTGAAAAAGACGTGAGAAAGAATTTTATCTGTTAATTGTTTAATTTTCTACAGCAATGCTTCTCATCCTGATCAACCCCAGGGCTCCTTTATAATACTAAGCATTTTATAGTTCTCTCTTTAGATCCAGAAATTCATAGATAATATAATTTACCTATATACAAAATTCCAGAAGTATTAATAGGGTGCCCTATTTGGAATAGAAAGGGGAAATAAATTTATAGTAATATCCATTTTATGTAAACACTAAGTCCGTGACTGTACCAAAAGCTATAATAAAGTGTCCATATGCTTGCACTTACTTAGCATGAAAAAGTCAGCATTCAGAAGCAGAAGATGAGAAGTCTTTCAGCCTTTCATATATCAGCACAGTAAAATCAACGAAGAGGGAATGAGTGGATACTGATATTCTGTGCAAAAAAATACCTTATATTGCAAACTTATTCTATCATTTAACTTAACCAGAGATAAGTTCCAGGTTCAGATGAGTGGCCAGCCAGATATTCAGTCATACTGTAAGGAACAGGACACTTCTTCCTTGTGTCAAACTGTACTGTGCAGGAGTAGACACTTCAGTCTCTACCCACTCAACATCAGTAAATGCTCTTTGTCATGTGACAACCACAAACATCCCACAGATTTCCACTACTCCTCTACTGCTTCACTCACTGTCTGATTCTTTACTTACTGATTCCAGAAACAGGGTAAGGGAGCCATTGTAGAAGTGAGACAACTTGGAAGGTTGGGGAGTTCACCATGCTGATGAATATGTCTGAAAATTCTAAGTTTGGTGAAGTTTTTCTTTTTCCTTTTAGGTCAATACTTTTCAGAAAGAACATATAAATCTCTGATGGTTGATTTTTATGGAAGGTTACATTTTCTCTGTAGGTATGGCTTGGAAGTAGAATGACTCAGCAGGCGGAAGCTAGAGACATTCATCAATACTCAAAAGGAGATTTAGTGCTATATCCATGTTGACTCTCTAATTGACAGCAGAGTTTCTCATCATCTCTCACTCTAATATAGATATGTATGCTCATTTACAAAATAAATCCAAGTGCCAGAAAGGGAAATTTCCAAACCATCTAAATTATAATCATAATAGCATAGGCTAAGGACTTGGGAATACAGACTATCATTTTTCTGGCACTCTAAAAATCTTTTTTACAACACTTAATACTGGGAGGGTGTTTTCCCAAGTATTTGTGTGCCATCTGTTGAAAACTTCAATCTTCACACTGTCACAGAAATGCAGCCAAATGTAAGCTGTCCATCTGTTGAAAAATAACTATTTAAAACAACTTTATGGAAACCATTAAGTCTAACCACTCTGTCAAATATGTTTGAGTCTTATTAAGATGGAGTTCAGAATTTGGCCACATGGGCACTAAAAGGAAAAATAGATAATATACTATGAAATAAACAAACACATTTCCCATGAATAGGATTCAGCAAGCACACACAGCTGCCTACTAGAATTCAGGGACCTAGCCAAGCTTACAATAATCATCATCCTTTGAAGAGAGAGCACTTTGTAGTGAACACTTTTTTTTTTTCAAATGCACTATCTCAATTAACCCTATTTAACTTCTTAAACAACTATTTGAGCTTATTATGTTGTTATTCCATTTTATAGAAAAAAATATACAGTAGCTAATGCCAACTTTTGGAAAATACCCATTGAAACCTTCATACAGATCACTTACATTGGGTTACATCCCAATAAACCCATTGTTAGTTGAGAATATCATAGGTCAAAATGCATTTTATTCATTTAACCTACCAAACATCATAACTTAGCCTAGCCTACCTTGTACATGCTCAGAACACTTCCATTAGCTTACAGTTGGCAAAATCATCTAACACGAAGCCTGTTTTATAATAAAGTGTTGAACATCTCATGTAATTTATTGAGTATTGTACTGAAAATGAAAAATGTGGTTGTATGGCTGTGTGGGTACAAAACGGTTCCCGATGCTGGGGCAGCGGTGGTGAGCTGCAGTAACCAGGCTTTGTGAAATGGCCAGAGCTAGACAGGTGAATGGTAAAACAGAGGTGGCTGTTTGTAAATGCTGAGAAAGTGGCTCATGGCTTTTTTTAGTTTCTTGTCCTTTCAGCCACAATAATTCTGTGAAACGGATATTCCACTGCATGACTTTAATATATTTAACACATTTTCAATTCTGACATATAGTTTGTAAACTGATTTATGAAATGTAAGTTAATTGATTTCATGAAGCCTATCATATTTATAATAAAGGATGGTGGGATAACAAGGAAAACATTTCATATGAGTAACCACTCAAGAAACTAAGGGAGGAGATTGGAGGCTAACATGTAAGGGAAAAGTGAGTTCCAGCACCAAGCGCTTAGAATCACAGCAATTTACTGCAGAAAAGCACGTCAGACATTACCTACTCCACTGCTCTCCAAACCTGTTTTTAGCAGCAGGGCCCTGAAGTAAATCAAATATCAGATGAACCCACAAAAATATAAAACGCAAAAGTAGCTCTGCCCTGGATGAAGTCAGGAAGGAGCATGGCAATCCCATCTGCTTCTCATTGCTGTTGCTACTGAGGTTCTCTGGGGCCCCAGAAATTCTAGGAATGGAGCTTGAATAACACCCATCTAGTCCTAGCACAGCCCCTCATTTTCAAGATAGAGGAAATAGTAACAGGTGGATAATTTGACTTGCCAAAGGTCATATGCTATTTTACAAAAGATTTTCAACAAATAGTGTGAGAGCAATTGAATATTCATTGCAAAAAAACAACAGACAAAACAAAATACCAACTTCTACATAAGTCTCATGTCTTATGCAAAAAAATATTTCAAAACAGATCATGGAATTAAATGTAAAACTATAAAACATGGGGGGGGGAAGCACATAAAAGAAACTCTCCAGGATCTAGGGTAGACATGTTCTTAGTCTTGATACCAAAAGTACTATCCATAAAAGGAAAAACTGACAAGTTGATGTCCTCAAAATGTAAAACTTTTGCACTACGGAAGATCCTGTTAAAAGCTCAAGAAGACAAACTACGGAATGGGAGAAAATATTTGCAAACCACATATTTGAGAAAGGTCTAGTATTGAGAACATATAAAGAACTCTCAAAACTCAAGAGTAAAAGAGCAAAAACACAATTAGAACATGACCAAAAGACACAAAGACATTTCACCAAAGAAGAGACACAGATGTCAAGTAAGCCATGTTAAACATCATTAGCCATTTGGAAAATGCGGATTAACACCACAATGGGATAGCCACCACACACTTATCTGAAGAACTAAAATAAAAAATACAGACCACAGAAAATGCTTGCAAGGATGCACAGTAACTATATCACTCATTTGCTGGTGAGAATATAAAACGGCATAGCCACTCTTGAAGCAATACAGCAATTTCTTTAAAAACTTGTAACTACCATATGATCCAGCAATGTACTCCTAGACCTTTACCCCAGAGACTGAAGACAATGAGGACTTGTATTTACACAAAAACCTGTACATGAGTGTTTAGAGCAGCTTATTCATAATAGCCAAAAACTGGAAACAGCCCAGGTGACCTTATAAAAAGGTGATCTATAAAAAGGTCACCTGCTCTAAATTGTGGTAGAGCCATACCCTGGAATACTACTAAGGAATAAAAAGGAACAAACTATTGATAAATGCAACAACCTGGATGAATCTCCACAGAATCATGCTGAGTGAAAAAGCCAATGCCAAAAAGTTAGATACTGTATGATTCTAACTATAGAACATTCTTGAAATGACAAAATTATAGAAATAGAGAACAAATAGTGGTTGCCAGGGGTTAAGGAAGTGGTGAGAGGGAAATGGGTGTAGCTATAAAAGGGCAACACGAGAGATCCTAGAGATGATGGAAATGTTCTGCATCTCGATCACGTCAATGCAATAACCTGTCTGTGATATCACACTACAATTTGCAAGATATTACCACTGCGGGAACTGGGTAAAAGTACAAGGGATCTCTCTGTGTTATTTCTTACAATTGCATGTGAATCTACAGTTATCTAAAAACAAAAATATTAGTAAAAAAAAAAGAGACCAATGCTTTTTTTAGATATAGGACATAGAAGAGGACAAATATTGAGGCAGATTTCAGCTGTGTATGAGGAAAACTTCATTGAAAGTGATCCAACAATGGAATAGAGCAACTTGTGCCGATAGCAGTCTGTCACTGGGAATGTTTAAATACAGTCAGGGTTGATAAAAATAACATTCCCACGGTGGTGGTGGAAGGCGAGGGTGATTAGGGTAGGAGGCCTTGTAAGGTCTCTTTCAGCTCTAATGTTCTCTCCTGTTTCCCAGGAGCGGTGCTAAGTGTAATCCTCAAATCAACACCATGAAGTAGAGATAATTATTTCCCCCATTTTAAAGATGAGGCTTATGATGTTCACAAGCAGTTCAGGAACTTTCCCAAAGTCACACAGTGAGAAAGGGCAGAACCCACACCTGGCCCCAGATTAGCCTACCTCCAAGATGAGGCTCCTGCTCCTATCTGCTTCTCCTCATTCACACTGTACTGCCTCCATTACTGACATTTCTGCAGCACTTCTAGCACACTGTTGGACCAGTTAGCAATTGTGAGCTGGGTATCATGATCACCATCTTACAGAGGAGGAACCTGAGGCTCCAATGAGTTACCTATCAGACCTAAAGTCACAAAAGTAGTAAGTGGCAGAGATAGAATTCAATTCCAGGTATGTCTTCTTATTCCTGCCTGCACGCTCCTTCTTTATACTACTGATTAACATCATTAACCAAAGGAATTGCTACTAAACAACATTTCATATTTTCCCTCTTCTCAGAAACCCATCACATGGAGAAGCTGCGAAAGCACACAGAATGTATATTTCATGTAACAGCACAGAAAGTTTTTAAACATTTATATGCAGAACCAGAGAGTAATGGGAAATGGACCTTGGGGAATCCCTAATCTTCTTCAGGAGAGATGTCAAGGTGGGGCTAGAAGCATCTAGAAGGCGCCTAGACTCAGACCTTAGATAGACGGCTATAACCTGTCTGCTTGGGTAATTTGATTTACATGGACTACATCTACCCATTTCATTTGGGCACAAGAAAATGTGCTTCATAAACATGAGATGACACAGAACTAATGAAAGATACATTTATAAAGGCCTCTATTACAATCTGTGTCACCGTTAAGATAAAAAATACTTGGTTTTAATAGTTCATTTGCACAGAATTGTTTGTCTAGTTCATAATAAAGAGTGGCATGAAGGTAAATCTGTAATCTTTGTACAAGAAATTTCTTGTTTCAACTGCGAAAATAGGCTACCTTGTTTAAAGCTCCTTCTTGGTCCCTCTGGATGCATCTAAAGATATCACTGTCCCCTGCACAGATAGGGACAGGCTGATTACCTGCTGCTCATGTCCATGAGGCCACCTGTGTTACAGGAATACTAAGAGCACTTTTCCCACAAACTACTCCCAAGAAGGCAATGCTGTTGGAAGTCCTAAACACTACCACAGACCATCCCTAGTCCCACAGACTCCCAATTAGATTTGGACCTTTTCCCACTTCAGCTGCATTTTAAAAAAATTTTTTAATAGAGTTGATTTATTTATTTTGCAGAGGGAGAGAGATGGTGAGAGCGAGAGCACAAGCAGGGGGAGGGGCAGAGGGAGAGAGAGAAGCAGGCTCCCCGCTGAGCAGGGATCCCAGGACCCTGGGATCATGACCTGAGCGGAAGGCAGGCACTTAACAACTAAGTCACCCAGGCGCACTCAGCTGCATTTTTTCATCCATGGTCCCATACACTGAGATGGCTCCATGAAGCCCCGCACTCCCAGAATGGCTACTTCACAGCTCCTCAAAGTTGCAAGGCTCTTTGGTCCCACATCTTCACGCGACAGCTGAGGAGATGAACCATCCTCCCCACCAGATGAACCATCCTCACTCAGCCACTGCTTGGAATCCCTCCAAGGCTCCCCACTACTGACTTCCATCTTGCCCGCATATGTTCATCCCTACATTCTAGGAAAACCAAACCATTCTTTATTCCTCACGCTCACCTGGAATTTTGTTGCTAACACTGAACCTTCTACCTGGAATGCTCTGCCCCTTTCCAAATACCCCCCAAAGTCCCACTCTTAGAGATCCAGGTCAGATGCCACCCCCTCCCCAAGGTCTTCTTGCAGTCAACCGGAAATGACATCTCCTTGGGAGTTTCCACCGCGCGTTATCAAACCCCTATTGCGTTTCCCACACCTGCGTCAGTTACTGGTGTCCAGGGAATAATCCCTTCCGCTCAGTATTGGAGGGCTGGTTCTTGTTTGTCTCTACATCTTCAGTTTCTAGCAGAGCGCCTGACACAAATAACTGCTGAGCAAATATTTAATGAATGAGGGAATGAGAAGCCCAAGCCCAGGGAGGACAGAGTGGCTGGGTTTTTCCAGCACATAAATCTTATTAATAGTCCGGAATGCCAAAGCAATATCACCATCCCCCAAATCTAATATTTTATAATACTAATTACTTGTTTTATTATCCTTATTCATTCAGTGAGAACGATAGGTTTAAAAAAACCTCTTAAGCAAGACCAGTTTCCTAGTCCTGGTGCTGCTACTTAATAGCTGTGTGACTTGGGGACTGAGTCTCTCCCTGTGGACTCAGTTCCTCCATTTGTAACAAAGAAGGGTATGGATGCTCTCTACTGGTCCTTTGAGTTTTTCACATCTGACAGGTGGCGCAAACAAGGTTGTCTGGGAGCCCAGAGGTCCTCCCTGCCATCCCCAGCACACCTCGCTCAAGCCCAGGGGTCTCGTTCCCACCGGTGGCAGCTGCCAGGGTCCCGGGGTCGCCCTGGCCTCGCAGCTGCAGTCCCTCTGGCTAGCGGCCACGGGCCCACTCCATCTGCTCTCGGGAGAGGTCAAAAGGCAGCAGCCCACCACCTCTCAGCGCCGCCCTCCGGCGCCAACGCCAGCGCCAGCGCCAACGCCAGCCCCGCCGCGCGCCCCGGCGCCCTCTGACGCCGCCGCGCCCGCTCGCGGCTCCCATCCTGACCCGCGCCACCGTCGGGGTTCACACCCCTCGCTCGGAGAAGCCCCGAGAAGGCGCGCGCGTGCGCGCGCGCGCGCACACACACACACACACACACACACACACACACACACACGCAGCGGTCAAAGCGCAGACACACACACACACGCGCGCGCGCGCGCGCAGCGGTCAAAGCGCAGCCCCAGCGCAGAACCTGACCGATGATTTCGGCTCCCCCGCCGCCCCTAGCCACTGGGATACTCTTGCATCAAACTTTTTATGGTATCAAGGATTGTGCTAGGCGCAGCAATTTCTAAATTTACACGTCTTGTTGAGCCCGGAAATGTTCGTGTACCTTCGTCATGAATGCACACTGCACCGCTAGAAGTATATACCCTTCTAGCGCTGCACAAATTCCTTTACCCAGGAAAGGACCCTCAGGGCCTGTGTCCGGGGAAAGCATCTCGGTCTTTAACTCAGCAAAGGTGGAAGGAGGGAGTGGCCTTAGAAAATTTCCCTGCTTCCCACCACACACACGCCTACACGGTGAGGGCTTATGAACCTTATCCAGAGCCCAAGGGCTATGAGGACACACATGGACCCCGGCTCCCTTTGGACCCCTCCCTATCACAACCCTCTAGCCTAAGATCAACTTCAGAATGGGAAGAGGAGAGAAAAGAGAAAGGAGAGGGGAAGGGCCTGCCAACACCTCCACAGCCACGTACTAGTTTCTCCCAGTGCAAGTTTACCTGGCTCCTGATGGGATGAGGCCTTCCTTAAAGACAAGCCACTCTCCGGCAGCCGGTTCTCCCCCTCAACACTTCTGACCTTCCCCTACCAAAGGTCGGTTCTGCAGGTCCCTTATTCAGCATGACTTGGGTGCATGTGACAGAGCAGGGCCTAACTGACCCTCTTTTAGGCCAGATAGGCCAACAGAGGCTTCCAGGAATAAAGCCATGCAAATTTAAAAATAAAGCTGGGCATGAAGAGTATCCCTTTTCTTACTGCTAAAAAAGGGAGGCCAGGGAGACTAGCCGGCTAAGTAAGGAAAGCCTGGTGGACTGCTAAGTGAACTTTTTGGAGCTCTGTACAGGACTTTCCTTCAAACAAGTCATAACCTAGATTTTTACTCTGATTTAAATGGAATCTCAGCTAAAAGGAAGGATTCAAAGGCTGAAATAGCTTGCTAATTTTATGTGTTTTGCCACAGTGGGATAAAAATTATGTAAAGATGCAGCTGCCTTTATAAAGGAGCCAGGTTCTGTTATGAAAATTAAGGGTGGTCTGCATGGTTTGAAACTGGGTCTGGTTTTGGCAACTTTGGAGACATAGAGAACGTAGAAGGACATGGAAAGCATGAGGGATCTAGATATAATCACTGGCAAAGTGGAAACTAGAACACTTGAGAGTTTGTAGCTTTGGGTGATTTTTTTTTTGAGCTTATATTTTTATTACATGTTTCCTGTGTAATATATTTTTAGAGTTCTAAGATGAATCAAATATGCCTTTTAATACCCATTGGATGTCTCAAAGAGAAAGCCATAAACACACATTTGCTTTATGTTCCCTAACTATTTCAATTGAGTCATCACTGAAGGAAGTGGTTCATGATTTTCTACAGGAGAGTTATTGTGAGCATTTATAAAGCCATCCTGCTTATGAGTTAAATTTATTGTGTTTGCCAGGTTAATCTGTTTTCTCTAATCAGACACTTAATCATCCAGTCTCCTCTCTGTATTATGGATTCATGAATGTGAACGAAGGAGGATTGCTCAGTCAGGACAAAATGATAAATTATCATTTCTTTTTGGGGGTATTTGTGATTAAATGCATCATAATAGAATTAAAATGAAATAAATCTTATAATTTTACTTCTAGATCCCTGCCAGGTATAGATAAAATGCATTCAGTTTAAGAGTAAATTCAATTTGAAGCCTGAGTGAAATTTGTAGGAAAAACAGAGAGAGCTTTGTAGTTCAGGAGAACCCTGAGTTCTCTCTTCCTTTCTACAGACTGGAGTGACAGTTAATCAATCAGTGGTATTCTATGGATGAGCAGTCCAGAATTCAAATTTCCAGTCAGAAAGAATGAGGAATTAACCTTGGGCAGTTATAACCAAATTTTACCTGAATCCAGAGTTGCAATCCTGGGATCTCATGGGCTGCACATGGTATACAATGGGAGCCGATGTCAGCTTATCACCAAATCACCGTTTTCCATTACTTTGGCTAATCTATTAACTGAAGCACCACGTGCATGGCACCCTCAGTTATTGTCTACTTGGGTTGAAACAGTTGAAACACGTTGAAATAAGCATAATGGAGATGATTTCATCATGTTTTTTGTTAAATGAATAAAGTCCACATTCTAGCAAAAGCCTGGTGATTTAACAAATCATTATTTGCCTTATTAATACATGGAGACTAAAACCAATTGGCATTGTGTGGTGTCAGACAGCGTGCTCAAGACAAATTTTTTGTGTGTGGATATTTATACACACACACACACACACACACACACACACACAATCAGCAAAGTACTTTCATATCCATGGTCTCATTTGATCCTCACAACAAACCCATGACTCTTCAGGTCCTGGCAGTTGCCCTTGAGGCCTGAGCCGTAAAGCTCCTCACTCATTGTCTGTGGGGATTGGACCAAGACCAGGCCTCTTAGTGGAGAGTTCTTCCTCGACCCAGACTCTTTTGTATTGGACAGTGAAAGCGAAGCCTTCCTTCTAAATTAAACAAACAAAACAAAACAAAACTAGAAAGACACCCACGTGCAAAACACCACAAAAACAAAAGGCCTGTACAAATATGAGGTAAATGAGGCCTAGAGCAAAAAAATGGTCTTAAAAAGATCTCCTGGCCTCGCCTGAGATATTTGCTGAGGTGACACAGAGTCTGTGGGCTACGTGAGCATAGTGAGAGTTGAGACAGCCACTCAAATAGTCCCACTCCTGCACCCTGAAATCCATGTTATTAAAGTAAAAGCTTTTTTCTTGACTGCAATATCCAGGCTCATGTCTGTTCAGACTAGATTTTGATATACAAAGTGCTCGAGCCTCTCATTCTGTCTGCTTTGTATAGTCTCAGTCAGTATGATCGGATCTAGAAAACTATTTCCCTAAAGAGTCCTCATGCAGTGTACATCCAGGCTGTGCAATCTCTCTAGGATTACTGCTTCTGAAGGGTCATGTACTTTTGAAATTACTGAGCTTGGTAAATTAGGCTGAACAAAGTCTCTGGGGCCACCAAGAGGATAGGCAGAGAAAAGAGCAATTTAATGAAGCCCAGGTCAGAGGCACACAGAAACACAGAAGGAAGGAAAGGGGTGTACTTTCTATAGAAGAAGTTGCCCCCATTCCACCAAAAAAAAAAAAAAAAAAACCCAACAGAAAAGCCCTGACCAGTGAGTCAAGAGTCTTGGGTTCTAATCCCAGTTCTACCACTTACTAGCTGTGTGACATGGCACATGTTCCTTGTGTGAAATAGGAAAAATAACACATAGCCTGCCATTCTCACAGATCTGCGGAAAGGTCTTTAAAATATACAAAAAGCTTAATATGAGTAAGAATGAATAAATTCAAATTATGCTTGGTCAATAGATACAACACAGGATAACCTTGGAAATGACACTTAAATTTCACCACGTTCAGGGAGAGAAATGGCTCAATATTATATTCCTAGTCCTACTTTCCCTATTTGCCTCTTCTCATTTTAAATTCAGAGCCAGTTGTCTTATTTATTAATTGTAACATTTACATAGTATAAATATCTGCCACTTAAAAGTGATACAGACAATGTAGTTAAACCTTTATTGTCTTTTATTAGTCTAATAAATGAAAGCACATCGCCAAAAAGAGGCCACAGATATAAAAGATTTCAGGGACTTTGCCCTAAGGGAAAATAATACAATACATCTGGGAAAAGGTAATTCTGACTTGGTCCTCTATAAAATGCTAAATTTCTGCACAAAATCTTACAACACAAGTGTTTACAGGACTCTCGGTGACAAGAAAAGCGATAGTAAATGCGTCTCAGTACTAAAATTCCCGTATCCATGGAAACCTGTGAGGTTCTCTAAGCACACACAGGCAGCCCACGTATTTACTGAAGGGCTGAGGCAGCGATCAGTAGGTTACTACGCTGTGCAAAGCTGACAGATTGCTGGGAGGTGCTCAGCACAGGCGTGGATGTTTTTCTCCTGCTAAATGTAATTACAGAGAAATTCAGAAATCTCAGCCATGATGCAGGAAAAAAAAACATGTTTATATATTTATAGGTACTTCTATCTCTCAGAATATGGTGTCTTTAAATCAGATATTTGACCAGAAAAGCCTCGAGAAACCATCAGCGTTTTCCCCCCTCCTCCTCAAATTTTTAACTACGTTCGGAAAGTCTTTAGATTTTCCATGTGGGCAGATTCAGATATTTCTTGATTGGTGGAAGAAAATGCCATGAGTTTTTATCAGACTGATTATTTCTGGGAATTTGAATATGTTCCTGGTCAGTGCTTCCAAATGTATAATTGCTTTAAAGGCAAAAAGCATAAAAATTTGGGAAAGAAAGAATCTTCTACAGATATTTGAAGTGTTTACATAGCCAAGGACCAACATTCTGATAAAATAAAAGGAATGCTATTCATAGAGGCATATTCACACGGTGTTCTATTTTTTAAAACATACCTATCGTCTCATTTAGGGCCAACATCAGTCTTAATTGGTGCTATTCTCCCATTTTCCCTTTCATTACCAAGTCCTGGATTCTTTCTCAAATATTATTCTAGATTTTAATGACTTAGAAATGGTCTGTGTTTTGGTTGAAATACACTGAAACAGGTAACACTGTTGAGTTCTTAAAAAGATGTTGTGTTTTGGGGTGCCTCAGGAGGTCAGGTGCCCGACTCTTGATTTCCACTGGGATGGTAATCTCTGGGT